TTCCTATTTTTCAGTATATAAAAATTCTTCATTCCAAAGACTTGCTCTCTTTTACCATATAGATTTTAAAAAATTATAGTTACTACTCAATAGTACTATTTTAGTAAAAGTCTGAAATATATATTCTTAGTATTGTGTTTTATTCCTTGTATGCAACATATTGCGTTTATTTGCATTGACTATGTTACAAAGTCAACAGTCGTGTATTCAAAACATTTTACAAAGGGTGATTACAAGTCAAGGGTACCAGTTGAGCCTCTTGGCAACAAGTAAGATTATGTTAATTCATATCTAGATCACATTTTGTATTTTTTAAGATTTTTTTTTTTAAATGTGGTACACATGACTGAAAATGTGTCCGGTGTAACTAGATAACTCTTACCCGTCTAGTTCCAGCAGAGTTATCTCCCTTAAATGCAAAAGGAGTATCTATTTTCTATGTTATTAAATTAACAATCTAACATTGTTCTCTGTGACAGTGTGTGACATGCATGCTGAGGTAGGATAGAAAGTATATTTATTTCGCAAAACATTAGCATTGAGGTCTATGGAAAAGCAATTGGTACCGTGATACCTTAAAAAGAAAAGTACTTGCTTCTGAAGAACAACTTGCAGTTTCAAAAATATGATTAAGATTATATTCTGTAAAATGAGAGCGAAATATCAGCAAGAAAATATTTTTCAGATGTTGTTAAACCATAATTTATTACAACAGTCTTTGATACAATAATACACAAAAATATGGCACCATTTTAATAAAATTGTTCTTTAAAAGCTACTCTGTAACCAGACAATTTAAAAGCGTTATTATTACATTACAAGTCATTTCCCCAAAACAGGGGAAATATGTTAGTGAATGTTACAATGATATAGACTTGTTGGATTGTACATTTAACAGAATGGATAATGATGTAACGTGACAGAACTGTTTGCTAACACAGAAGCCAAATCCGTTAATGACGATCAAGGACAATGCTTATATCAGTAAAGGATAGAAGATTTGGAGGAGAAACGTCGGCATAAATCGGAAGAATGCGAAAGACTGAAAAACACGTTGCAAATAGAACATTTTGGCTTAAATAGGTTTTCAAGTGACAACTCTCATATATTATTCTATACAGGTTTTGCCTCCTGTTTCTTTGTCATTTAAAAGCTGGTCTTCGTGAGCAGGATCTCAGAGTTAGATTCAATTATTAGGAAACCACAAGCTGTACAATAGTCACTTGGGCTAACTTATATATTTTGTTCTTGACGCCATTCCTATTTGGTTGCCAAGAAAAATTATTCAAAAATAATTGCCAGAAAGTTTTTGAGTTTTGAATTCATCCATCCGCGTCGTAATTGGTTGTACCGAGATAAGAAATCAACAGCCCTCGTCTCTGACTATATCTTTTGGGAATGCACTTTGTCCCAGCATTTTGTATTTGGCAAATTGATGGAATAGACGAACAATATGTCCACACGATCCTGCTAGTCCCTTTGGGCAAGTGCAGAAAGCAGATGTTATGTAGCCTCAGATATTCATCCGATATTTCTTTAAATGTGACCTGCAAGGAATAAAATGGAATTTTATGAAATGTCAAATTTTAGGTTTATTCTTATGTTAAATATTCGCTTGTAAATAGTGTTTCAAATAATAAGAATAATCAGAGAGGCTTCATGCTTAAAAATTAATATAAATTAAATTTAATGTGGTGTTTAACTTTTCTTCTGAAATCTATAATACCTGCTTGTCACCTCATATCCGTTATCAACAGGTCTCACTGAAATACTACTACTACTACTACTACTACTACTACTACTACTACTACTACTACTACTACTACTACTACTATTGATACTACTACTACTACTGTTACTACTACTACTACTACTACTACTACTACTATTGATACTACTACTACTACTGTTACTACTACTACTACTACTACTACTACTACTACTACTACTACTACTACTGTTACTACTACTACTACTACTATTGATACTACTACTACTATTGATACTACTACTACTACTACTACTATTGATACTACTACTACTACTACTACTACTGTTACTACTACTACTACTACTACTACTATTACTATTGATACTACTACTACTACTACTGTTACTACTACTACTACTATTGATACTACTACTACTACTGTTACTACTACTACTACTACTACTATTGATACTACTACTACTACTGTTACTACTACTACTACTACTGTTACTACTACTACTACTACTAATGATAATAACAATAATAACAATAATTAGAGCAACTAAGTTTCACTCATTTAACTCTTTGATTTAAACTATTTTATAATTTATATGTTGGTAAACTGAGTATCACAAAACTTTGAGCAGTTCAGCATGTTGATGTCATCTATGCCATACTAATTCTCGCCTTGAGTTTGCTGGAAGATCTGAAACTTATCAAGTTACTTGGATTATATTAAACTGGTCATTGTCTTTTGGGAAAATGATACCCTAGGGAGAAATATAATCTTGGACAGATTGGTCAGGATATAAACTGATGTAGGAAATCTCTCATCACATCACATTTTGTTTAAGGGAGGAGTTCTAATAGCTTTAACAATCTCTTATATAGTATGACTGTGATAAATTGGCGGCGTTCAAAACACACTAACCTCTTTCACTACGGTTCGCTGTTATAGAATGACCTCCCGCAATGTAATTTACCCAGTGTGGATAGATAGAAAGAAGAATGCAGATCTCTGAACAAGTATATTGAAGAAATAAACACAAAGAGCCCCCTTTCAATGAACAAATATAAAATTTAATCAGTATAACAACAGAATTTAAAATGAAGAGAAATCAATTACTTGGTTACAAAGAAGTAAAAATGTATTAACATGTACTCAAATAAAAAAGACAAAAAGACTATACAAATTTCTTTTACTGTTACGATTACTAGTCAGCGACAAAATTCTATCTTCATTGCCTACGAGATGTGACCTTTAAGTGCAACGATGAGGGACACCATCACCTATTTAAAGCGGATACAGAGTCTTCAGTTCGTCCCTGCTCTGCCAATCTTGTCTAGTTGTCTGGTTTTGGACTCTTGCCAGTCGAACTTCGGTTTAGACGATTGTACTTATACTTCAGCGGTGAGAACTTTTGACCTCTCGCTGTAGAATTTTCTCATGAATGTCCAGGAGTCTCAGCAGAGTCTAGATAAGCTGTTTTCCTTCAATAAATAAAATGTCTCGCAATAGACAATAGGTCACATTTCCAAGTATATCTATATGATTTACATTAATTCGGCTCAGAAAATAAAAGGCATACATTCTATTTCACTCACGTTAACCAACTCCTACGTTTACATAGACGATCATTGCCTGTCCCGACCTTAATTCGGGTCACGCTAGTGGGGGGGGGGTCATTAAATTCCACTCAGCTAAGACGTATGTGCTCGTATTTAACACCCCTTGACTTCTTACACTATCTAGCAGTGTTAAATTACATATGGCTTAGATCCCTAAATCTAACTATTTTAAAATACTTTACATGATCAATTAAATATTACAAACTAGTATATGGATATACACTCAATACATGTCATACTAGATATAGAGTTAATTCATAAAACAGCGAAAAATTACCGATTATTTATTTGGCTTAATTCTTGAAATTCCTAAGCAATTCTATGTATTAAAGATTCAATTACATGCAACCTTGTAAATTCCTTCAACGATCATTCAATTACATGCAACCTTGTCAATTCTCTAAATGAATTGATAATTAGAAATCAAAAAATAAAATGTCATGACTAACATTTCACGAAAACCCTGCAAAGTGAAATCATACATACATACATCATAACATCAATACATTTGCAAGTCATTCAACAAATGAAATAAGATATTGAAATCGGGAAACTAAGATTGCGTACCTTTTGCCGTTTCGTTATTCGACTTCTAACTAACCTCAAATGTAGAGTTTTTCTACTTTCTGAGACAACTCTCACACTTTACTGCAAAATCACGAAAGACTTCTTTCACGTTCCCGGGGTCAAGAAAGATTGAATACTGAAGAATTTCTCCAAAGCAAAACCTTTAATTTCTTACAGAGTTATGCCCATACATTACTATTAACCAATCGGAATAGACTGTTTCCTAAATCTGTTCCGTAGAATTTTTGATTGTCAAGACAGCTAATCATGCCGTAATTAACGCTCTTTTGAACAATAAATTGTTGCCAGCTTCCCCTTTAACCGGTTGATTTTGTGAAAGGGTCTTATGTCATAGACTTGTACCATAGCATATGACTCGGTCAAGTTTCGTCGCGTGGAACGAATTTTCTTTTGACGTTCAGAGATGAAATAAAAATAATCAACTAACTATCTCTAGCCTTTTCTACTTTAATTAAGTTGACTTTGATACAATTCCTTTAACAAATGCTTTTCTAAGAGTTTTAAAAATTCGATACATCACAATGACAAAGAGGGTCCAATGTCAGAACGGGTCATGGAGGGGAAACTGAGGTATTTTTTTATCACTATATGACTTTTCCTTAAGATTATTATTGTTGTTTTTTAAACATCAAGCTCGCTTCGAGTACTTGTGAGTGAGACAATTGTTTCTAACATAGTGTGGCTGATAAGGAAAACAACACTTACCTCTTAGATCCTTCAATGAAATACTTCATGGATTTTTCACCAGAAGACTTCAGAATTAACTTGAGGCGTTAACAATGAAAAGGTAAGTGATGGCTCTAAATCTAAATCCTTGTCACTGTTAGAAGTAGCCATTATATCACTATAGACGCTGTAGCATCAAAGGCAGCTATGCTCAGTTAGCCTCGTTTTGAGTCGGGCATTAATATTCATGAGACAATATATAGAGGGGTCTATAGTGAAGTCTAGCACTGGGCATCATGCCGCAGACATGAAGAATGATGTCCCACCCAGTCACATTATCCTGACAACAGTCGTACCAGTCATAACACTAGCCTCTTGTTAGTACCAGTTTTGTAAGTCTTTGGTATGACTTGGCCGGGGATCGAACCCACGATCATCAGCACCCGAAGCGAACGCTCTAACGACTAGGCTACTGGAGCGGTCTGATTACAAAGAATACCCTCATTATAATTGATCATAAGACTTGAGGCACGCCACCCTTGATCATCTGAGAACCCTCACTATCATTTGACTGAGTGCTGACCTGAGTGTTTATGGAGTCCCAGGCGAACTTAAAGGTCATTGGCCACCTATATTGTACATGCGTGTGATATTATTATAGCCACAAACAAAACTCATGTATGTACACTATAATTAGATTTTTTTAAAATACGCTTTTAAATGAAACAAATATTCGGCATTCTCTGTAAATAATCGGTAGTTTTCGTGTGCCAAAATCGGAATTGACGTACATTGATCCCACCTTTTCAACCTAGCCATTGAAGTGTTTCATTTCCCACGTAAACGTCTATGTGATATATCTCACGATTGCAGTTTTGTACAGCAAAATGATGCACGGTGTTGTATATGGCTATAACCAAAAGAGTGATGATAGTGGAAAAGGATTATTCCCCCTAAAAGACCCGGTTTTTCAGAAAAAAAAGTGGATTCAATCCTTGGAGCAGCAGGGAGGGCGAACCCTACAAATTTTTGCGACAAAATCGATTAAAGCCTCAGAATGCCAAATGGAGCCTTCCTACGAAATCTCATATTTTAACCAAAAAAAAAAAATAAAGACCCCATTTTACAAATGGAGCCTTAGCGATTTTGTCGTAAATACATTGTCATAACCACCCTCAAAATTGCTGCCATCTACGTCGCAAATATGTTGTCATCTCGCCCTCCCTGCTGCTGATTAATACAAATGATTTAACCAAATATTTGATCAAGTCCAATACGATATCGTGACCGAGGGTCGTGTAAATTTATTGTTATAAATCCATATGGGACTGACTGAGCATGACTAAAGTAATTTTTAAATCCATTGAAGTCCATATCGGAACACAATGTCTGCCAAATATTTCGTAGCGTATGTGTATCAACGCCATTGAATACAGCAAGAATATTGCAGTTATCGCGAATCACTTTTGGAATTTGAGTATATCGTTGAGTGACATATATCACATCAGTGTTTTTATGCCTACCTCGGGAAAATGTTCTAGCAGGGTTCTTTTGATTATCTAACATTACATCATCGTACACTACAAGATTATTTATGTCTCCATCGAGATCTTCTACTGATGATGCATCATTAATATCAGTAATAAAGTCAATTACACTTTCACCTTTAATTTCTGATGCATTTTCATTATAATCTTTTAGCACTTTATAGCACCGTTGATCATCTACGGATGGGGTAATTAAATATAATTTATCCCACTTCATAAATCGCATTATCAAATTAAGCAGCAATTGTGTTTTACCCGATCCAGATGGTCCGATTATAATGGCACGGACAGAATTCGGAAGCGCTGCGTGGTGTTTCCCGGTTCTCTTCTTTTAGTCGCTGAAAAATCAATTATATTCATAACGCTATATATAAATTATGGATCTATATTGTGTTAAATGTAAACAGCGTACTGATACAACCGATCAGACAACCATTACAACTAAAAACAATAGACTAGCGCTTACTGGTAAGTGTGTAACATGTGGTACAAAAAAAAATTAGATTTTTAAAAAAAAACAACTCGGAGGTGATATTGCCGCAAAACTTGGAAAACTCCCCGGAACCCCATGGGCAAAATACCCCGGAGAAAAACACCTTCCAGGATATAGTTACTGTGGTCCCGGAACGAGATTAGATATCAGACTTGATGATCAAAATCAGCCCCGGCCTGGTGAGTATCCGATAAATGCTATTGATAAGGCATGTCATGCTCATGATGTTGCATATAAAAGCAATAATTTGCAACAAAGACATCTCGCGGATGTAAAATTAATTCATGCGTTAAATGCTATTCCCGATAAATCCTGCAAAGAAAAATTGGCTTCATGGTTGGTCAAATCAGCTATGAAAGGCAAATTGGTGTTAGGTGCTGGTAATTAAAAACATTAGTGTTTTTATAGTATGGAATCTATTTATTATTCTCCGAAACGATACTGGAGGGGTAAAGCAGCAATCAGTAAACTCGCTAACGTTGCAAAAGTGAAAAAGTCCACTGCGAAAGATTAGTTATCCAAACAAGCTATATGGCAAATTTATCTACCACCGCCTAAACAAATTAATTATTCTCATTTTGATGTTACAGTACCCAATGAAGTTCATCCGGCTGATTTATTGTTTTTACCACATGACCATGGTTACAAATACGCGCTAACTGTAGTTGATATTGCGAGTCGATTTAAACAGGCAGAACCATTGAAAACAAAGTCAGCTTCTGAAGTCGCTTCTGCATTTGAAAGGATTTATAGACGAGGTCCTCTAAGATGGCCAAATCTATTACAAGTTGATCCTGGCAAAGAGTTTCAAGGTGTTGTTCTATCAACAATGAAAACTCATAATGTTACAATACGACTAGGATATACTGCGTTACATCGTGATCAGGCAATTGTAGAACGATTTAATCGAACTCTTGCAGAACGTTTATTTGGATATCAATATGCAAAAGAATTCATCCAAGAAAAACGATCTTGTGAATGGGTCCAAAGGTTACTGAGTGTAGTTGCAGCGTTAAATAACGAGATTACTCGAACTATTAATATGAAACCAAATATTGCAATAAAAAAAATATATACCAGAAGAACCACAGTGGGTTAGCACTCAGCCATTTCTCGGTGATGTTACTGTGAGATATTTATACGAACCAGGAGAACTTGAAGGTGGTAAAAGAAGAGCTACTGATCCTATATGGAGTGTTACTACGCATAAAATTTCAACTATAACGCGATCAACTGGTAGACCTCCAATCTACAGATTGGATTCAACTGCACCTCAGCGTGGTTTTACACGCGAACAACTACAAGTCATTCCGGACGATACTCAATTACCGCCACATGGTCTTAACTAGCTCCGTTACGTCTATTACACTCAAGACAGGTCAACATTACATTGTTTCTGACATGACCAAAACTGTTATTTTCTCTTTCTACGGTGAATTGTCGAGGGTCTTTATCCGAATACTGCCAGTGCATGATACAATTGCAACTGGCGCAGTGATTATTCTGTTGTTCTTTTAATGCGATTATTACTTCAGCATCAATATCAAATTCTCGTTGTTTTTTTGTCCTGTTGTTTGTAACCAGAGAGTTTTTTTATTAATGAAGCTAATATCAGTGTTATCATCGTTTTCATTAAAATCATCATCGAAAACAATCCTTCGTAGTTGATTTATTCGTCGTACTCTGGACACTGCGAGATAGACTAAATTTGACCATTCAATGCGATTATCAACTATCCAAACAATTGTATCCGTGATGGTCAATCCTTGTGAAGAGTGTATTGTTGTTACATCACCAAGCGTCCATGGTGATTTATCAGCGCATAATGCATCTTCTACAGCATTGATATCAACTAGCACAATATCATTTAACACTAGAATCTGTTTCTCCGTCTGGCCTGGAATTTCAACTTCAATATTCTGCTTTCGTGTATCCAATGGTCTATAACACAACGGTACTGGAAACGTTGGGAATTTTTTCTTGTGTAGCTCAAACAACTTTTTCTGAAGTGCGTCTCTGACTATCTTTCTACTTGCTACTACAAAATCATTTGGTCTCCATATTTCCCAAAAATCATTCATAGGCGTTTCAGAAATTATTTCACGCGCTACTTCACATTGAATTCTATCGGGTTGTAATCTAATTAGTTTTTTAAACTCACGTAACTGCTCATCGAGTGCTCTATAGTCAGTATCAATTTCTTCGTAATAATCAACAAATCCTTTTAACCAATTATGTGGACTTCTACCAACAAATGGTGGTGGTTGACCATGATCGCCGCACAATATAACTTTTGTATTATTTTGTAATAACCAATCAAGAAACATTTTTAATACATCTTCTGAAACAGTACATGCTTCATCCCAAATAATAACCGCATGAATAAATTTTTCACCCATTCGCTCAGGAGTCCAAGTATTGCCCTTGTATCGAAAAAAACTATGATACGTGCAAGCTTCAACGGAAAATCCTTTGGATTTTTGGCGTTGTTTTATCTCTCTCGCTAGTCTATGGGTTGGTGTGAGTACAATCATGGACGTTCTCTCTCGATATAATTCTATCACACGTGTTGTCTTTCCAGATCCACCACAACCGTTTAAATAAACTGTTTTATATCTACAAATTGGATCTGATATCGCTGGTGCTTTAGACATAGAAAATCCTTCGGATTTTTCACTGATAGAATTATCGTTTTTCAGGTAACTGCTTTTAATCTCAAGGTCTGCTGATTCAGAATAATCGCGTTGTATTTCACGTTTAATTCGCCATGTTCCCCAAGTCTCTTCACTATTAGTAAATTTAGTTACCTCTTTGATATATTTTTTATCGACATACATTGAATCAATTGCAACTCTAACTGTTATATTAGGAAATCTATTTATCATTGCAAATAAATTGATAGATGCATAACCCAGCATAGAAGCCCTTAAATGTAGATATGCAGAGCTTTCTACATCACTGTAAGTAACAATTCTACCTAACTTTGTTTTAATGGACAAGAAGGCTGTTTTACAATTTGCGTATCTATTTTTCTCTACTGCATCTTTAATAACGAAGTCGTATTCGGCATCATCTATAATCAATCGTGAGGATTGTCTTTTAAAGTTGAATTTTTTTTCCACCTTGTGTAAATTTACCGATTATTCTTCGGCCGAGATCCTTTGCTTCACTATTTCGTTGATTAAATATCTTTTTTGACCATTCAATGATGTACTCCTCGTCAGCATCAATATGTTTTCTAGACTTATCGATTATACTATCAAGACATTCTGGTTCTGGTAACCAGACATTGGTTTGTTTTTGATATGAGATAATCGCTTCGCTGACAATCAACGAAACTAACATTTTACAATCAATCATATATCGCGATAACACTATTGGTAACCACATCCTTTCAGCCATGTGTCTACCAATCCAAACATAACAACACGGA